TTCTTTTCTTGATGCAAAAAAATGTGTTAGAAAAGATTGGATCTTTTTTGAGTCCATGTGGCCAATGTTTGACACTATTGTCACAGCCTGTGTGTGTGTGTGTGTATATTAGCTGTAACTAACTCTCTGCAGTGCAAAAAAAGACAGCTTCTTGCTAAAAAGTATTGTGTCCTATTTAATCTTTTTGACCAATTTGCAGAACTTCAAAGTCAGTAGGTCACTAGAGCTTTCAATTGCTCTGACAAATAATGGATTTTTGGGCTAATTCGATGCTGCCCGGCAGTGTAGTCTGCCCCTAGTGGCCATTGATTTATACACAAACACACACACACACCCACATGAGTGTGTGTGTGAAATCAAGGTCCCCTAGAGGCTGACTGCACGCACTGCCCCCTTTGGGGCGTCTTCGAATTTTCCGGATTTTTGATATTGCAGTTGATGTATGCTCGGAACCACTTTCTAACTGGTTGGTCACATTAATAAGGATCCAATCTGATGCTCTTTTTTTTTTTTTTTTTTAACGCAGACTCTGCCCAGGAAACTCCAGTTTGAGCTTGATCAGGAAGATCTTGCATCGGCAGCATTGTAATTTTTTGAGGTGGTGAAAAAAGGGGGCACACGAAAGCTCAATCACATTACGGAATTTACGAATTCGCATACATATGTACAAGTCTTGTATGTATTATTCACGTCTCGTTCTCCTCGATCGAATTCAAAATTTGAAAGGGAGGAGGGGAAAGGGAATTGTTGTGGGGGAAAAGACACTCGGTTATGGCCAATACGGGAGGATCGGATTGTTGACGAACAAGGTGAATTATTTTTTGTACTTATGTCAAAATTGATTTTACGTATACAAAAAACGAACGCATTTGTTTGAGTTTTTGGTTCATTCCATGTACTGTTAGTATAAAGGGTAAGATGATGAGTTGTTATACATACTTTCTCTTGTGTAGGAAAATAAGGGCTAGAGGTCTTTGTTCTCCCAATCCAATTGTTTGTAATTTTGTATTGTACCTGATCTATTTTTTGTTCTCAACTTAATCATTATTGTTAAAGAGTTTGCATATCCAAAATAGACTGCAGTTAAGTTCAACATATATTTGATAGAAAAGGGTAAAATTGGATGAAAATTACACCACAATTTCCTATCTTTATTTCATTTTTGCAATAATCAGGCTTCTTTTTTATCTGCCAAAAAAGATAAAAAAAAAAGATAAAAAAATTGAAGTTACATGAGAACTATTCCTCCATTAATTGTTCAAGTTGTTACAAGTTAATTATGGACTTTCCCTCCTTTAACCCAACATCAAGGCCACACCTTTTTCTCTCTTTGCTTCTAGAATATTAAACCATGAAAAGGCAGGCTATTCCTATAATATTGAGGCATTTGTAAAGGGAGCTCGTAACGGGCTCGTCCGAAGAGCCCAAAGTTCTGTCGGGCCAACATCATGAAGGACCGATTCGGTCATATGAAAGAATTTGGGAGATGGGGTCAATTAGGTCAGTGTTTTTCAGGCAATCCATCTGTAAATCTCAATATTAGGAATCATTTTTCTTTTTCCTTTTCCCTTAAATTATACTAAAATATATTGACATGATCATGTATCCTTTTTACAAGACAGTGAGTGAATTACAGCATTTGGGAGGACAATTTGATCGCTGCAAACGAACAATTACTGTTAATTATGTAAAAACTGACACTGCTTTTGGACCATCATATTGCTGGTACACGTGTCTCTTTCGCATTGGGTGATCCAATAAAATTAACTTAGAATGAAGGGTTAGTTATGGCAAATTGATGACACATGTTGCTGGTTGATGGATCCAAATGGACGCTAAGTCAAGTTATCATCAAGACTATTTATATTTACTGAAATACTTTGAATGGGTGGAAGTATAAATAGCTTTCTTTATGAATAGTTTGCTCAAGTTGGAGCCAAAATACACATCTATTAGTAAATTTTCTGATTGATTTACTCAAAGTATTATGATATATATATTTGTAGTGGTCCGATCTCTTATGAAATAATGTGGTTGGACACATTTAAAAAAGTAAGCAATATTTTTGTGATAGT